CTTATTCATGTACTTAGGGGATTGCATCGGTAATGAATGGACTGGCTGTTTAGGCATACACAACGCAGCCTACTACTCACCTTAATAATGTAAGCAGGTCGTAACTCCTGCTAACCCAAGGGTATATAAGGCATGCACACGCAGACACACACACACACACACACACACACACACCACACATATTTCACTCTCCCAAACACACACAGCCTATCTGTATTAGCAGCTGACCTCTACGTGTGCCAGGTCTTCTCACTGTCACATTGCAGCTACATTGGAATATGAATGTTTTGTGACTGGGAGAGAAAATCTTGTGTGTATTTCTGATGGTGTGCCTTTCTGTATGTTGTCTAAGGGAAACACAACTAAGCCCACTTTATTTCAATTAATAAGAGATAAAATATACTATATACTGGGGTTGAACCGAAAACTTGGATTACACAATTATTCGGTACAGATAATGTACTCTATAAAAATACGAGTACTATACTAATAAAATTTGTCAATATCTGTACTCGTGATAAAGAGAAATCCTCATTAAGGTAACTGTGTTTAATATCTCACTCTTTTAAACAAGGCTTAATTCTGAGATTGTTCTGTGAGTACTTTTCCAATAAATAATAAATATAGCTATAGATACAGACACAGAGAAATTGTGAAGACAATAAAGCCTCCAAAAAATAGCATTTTAAGTCTTGTGTGTGATTTATCCTGGCTTCATATGAGCAGAGGAAATCTCTGCTTGTCACTAGGCTAATTTATACAATGTAAAATGCCATAGGCTTGTGCTAATAGCGTTAGCATGTCACATTTGTTTGGAAAAGGTGTTTAGTAAAAGACAGTTGCTCTGTCAGTGAACCTTGTGGGTTGTGATGGAGCCAAATGTTGTAATGTTACCTTTGTTAAATGTTACTGCTGTCCCTGGCTTCATATGAGAAGAGAAAAAAGTCCGCTAGCCACTAGGCTAACTTATACAATGTAAAATGCCATAGACTTGTGCTAAAAACATTAGCATGTTGTATTTGTGGGGAAAATGTGTCCAGATAAAGACAAATATTTGTGAATGCTGCGAGTTATAGTGAAGCTGATTTGTGTACTTGTGTTTGAAATTGTCGCTATTTAGCCATGTTTAATGTGTGTTTCATGTGTGTTTTAGGTGTGTTTAGAATCAACTAAACTTTACAGCACTTCACAGAAACCCTACCGCTGACTAGTGTTTAGCAGGTGTAACTGCAGAGTGACACAGACACACCACCGCACATGTATAAATGCTCACAACGGTATAGGCCACATGCGTAGGCTACAGGGGTCTGCCACACAAGTATAAATCCCCCTTAACATGCAAAAGTATGCAGCGCTATCCCTCCTGCATCAGTTTCGGATGTGCAGGGACAGCATATTAATTTACACCTGTTACAGGCGTTGTCTCTTTTCAAAATAAGCTTCCATTTTCACAGGACATTTGGACTTTCTGCTTGTTTAATGCATGCAGTCTTTCTCACGCTAAACTTAGAGTTTGTTACTAATGTAATACAAGGTAGCATAGTATGCTACAAGTACTAGCACACTATTGTAAGGCAGGTTTCTCTCTCCTGTCTTACCTATAAACGTAGATACTGAATTAACTATCAAAGGGCTGTGGGTGAAGTCAGAGCACGGGGACAGCTTCTCTTGGTAACTTGATCCACTTTAGTGTCCCCAAAAAGAACGTAGGAAAACTGAACATCGACAACAACAGTGGCATCTCACAACTTACATATATCACTCCGCCAAACTTAATCATAACTCTCATTGCCTGCACATAAGCTACGCGATATTAAATAGTTCCAAATTTAGTGTAAAGAGCAAAATAGAATATATAAACAATATATGATTGTAGTTAACATTAAATCATGTAGATGCAAAATAATGAACAGAGATAAACAAGACAATCTGCTGGACATGTCCTCACAAAATTAAATCTCATCTCACACTATGTTGTTACCAAAATAATGTGAATTTTTGGTTTCACACGGAACACAAACAGCTGGCTGCTAGGTGAAAGTCCCAAGTTTGTTTGACCATCCACTTCCCCTCTCGCCCATCCTGTGCAGACTCCTGCTGCCGCCTGCTGCATTTTATACTGCTGCTAAAGGTTGCCACTTTGTGTTGGCACCTGATGCTAAGGGCCACTGAACGAATGTCGCTATTTGATGAGTTAGAAGTGAGACCTTGTGGGTCTTTCAAAAAAATGTTGATGCTTAAATCAGATTTTATTCTACTTGATTTTTTTGTGTTACAACACACTTAATAATTTTCTATCATTATTGTTAAATCTATAAACCATTAAAATACAAAGTAACTTTACATTCTTAGAAACGGTTTTACAGTAAAGTCAAGAATGAAGAAAGAACGTAACAAGTCTGTCTGTGTTTATCATTTGTTGTTTGGCGTATTTTAAAGTGGTGTCCTAAAAAAGCAAGTTGTTCACTCAGCAGACATAAAGGTATCCAGTCCGCCTGCATCACACATCAAATATTAACTTCACATATAATGGACTGAATCTTGTCTCCCCATCCGCTCCAGCTCCTCCTTTTGGATGCTTTTGCGTGTATATTTTGGTACCCTGCATTCATGTAAACATAACACACACGTACTTAACACTAGCATATGCATAATTGAAACACACACACGCAAGCTCACACTTAAAGCACACACACACAAAGAGACACGCATATGCTCACACACAGCGCTGTGTGCTGACCTGTGAGTCACTGCCGTCAGCACTGATTTCCTTTTCCCAGAGTGACCCCTGTCACTGCGGCGATAGAGTGGCCGATATTTCACCGGTATGGCCGGGTCCCTCTCTTTCTCCCAAGATGTCTTTCTTGTTCTCCTTGTGTAAGTCGGACTCTTTATCTCTCTGTGTACTGTGCGTCTCCCACTTTCTCTGTTCAACTCTCCTCTTTTCCTTTGTCCCCGTATGTTTATTCTCTCTTTTAATAGCACCCTGTGATAAAAATGCAAGGTCACCTTACTGTTTCTTGCTCCATTCATTTATATTTTTCAGTTATGTTCTTCTTTTTATACAGATACAATATGAATTGACCTCGCAACAACAGTTTTGACCCATGTTTTTCACCCATCCTCCACAAACTAATGTTCAGGCACATAAAGGGACAGAGAAAGACGGGCAGGCGGGGTAATGGCAGGGTTATTTGAGCCTAAGGAATCGTACTGTATCTGGGAATGAATAGAAGGTTTTGTAGGTCTGCGTGTACGCTTTTATCTACGAACTGTACTTTCTTCATCTCAATATCGTTCTGTCAGAGCGAGCGACTTCCTGTGCTACTGTTGCATCAAATGTATTTTTTTTTTCTAAATCCCCCAAAGAGGACAGCTGAATTATTAAGTCATTAGAGTAATCGTATTTCAAATTCCATCTTGATTCTTTCCTCTATATTTGATTTTGTCAGCTTTTTGATTTGATTTTGGTGATTTGTGTGCAGTTGGTCCTGCTTTGATGAGCAAAACAGAAAGCAGAGACATTTTTTTTCCTTTAATAATATTGTGTACAGTTGCACACACTTTCTTTTTTTAAACGTCTTGTCCTTTTTCTTATGACATTGTCATGTTGCCGTGGTCATCAAGATGCAAAGTCCAAGCAATTAGTTAGGGCTTTTAAACCTGTAATCTTGTCTACTGTCAAACATCGCCACAGTTACCAGCACTTGAGAAAATAACTTTTTACATAATTATTTTCCTGTATTTAACAGTCTGTAATTGATAAATAGAAGTTAAAGTTGTATTAAAGTGAAAATTTAACTGTGTGAATATGTCAGAAGTATTGTGTATGCTTTTTCCCTTTTTACAACATTACATAACATACTAGTCCATACCCATTGAGTGCACAGTAGCCCACGTACAGTTTCACATGGTGTGTGTTTGGGATACAGGTCATAGGAAATTGCAGATTAAATAGTCAACTGAACCCATTAAGAAGAGCAATGTATTCAGACAGAGGTTTTGAAAAACGTGGGACAGACAGAGTGACTGACTGACAGAATGACACACTGACAGTTTCCGTGATTATGTACAGCATACCATACCATGACTTAGTAATAGCAAAAATTAGAAAAAACAACAACATTGGGCCACAGGGGGAGCCACAGCGATCGGTCGCATTTTAGCCATTTTTAAGCATTTTTCTGTTGTCATAGCGCCACTCAGTTGCCAATTAGAGTTAAATTTCTCCAGTCACCTTGAGGCGTCCTGTTCTACATATCTACCAAGTTTAGTAAAAATCAATATGGCGGTTAGGTCTAGATAAGAAATTAGCTCTCTAGCGCCCCCATTTTGTTTGATTGGGTCAATAATGGAGGGGTCCCCTCAGATTATGTGTGGTCATATGCCTACAAAGTTGCGTGGTGATCGGTGAAACCCTTGAGATGTTATACACCTTTATGTGATGAGCCACGCCCTCCGCAATATTCATTGCCTTATAGAAGCTCAGTTTTAGTAAGTTTTCCAACTTTTGCCAAGAGGGAACTAGATTATGTTCACCGAGTTTCATGCAGATCGGTCAAACTTCCTAGGAAGAGATCGATTTTAAGTGTTTTTCAAAAAATTCAAAATGGCCTCATGAGGAGAGGCATCTCTGTGCAAAGTTTCATGTCTCTACGACATATGGGGCATGAGATATGCCCATTCAAAGTTTGCAATTTCAATCGGTTGCTATAGCGCCCCCCTTTGGCCAATTGATGTAATATTGCTTCATTCGCATCCTCCCATGACCCTCTACCACTGTGCCAAATTTCACATGGATTGACCAAGTCAGTGAGGAGAAAAACGTGGAACAGACACACAGACAGAGTTTTCGTCATTATATAGTAACATATTAAACTACTTGGTGTAATGTAATCCATACCTTAAGCTGTACACAACCTCCTCAGGTCCATACCAAATGAATAATCATTGCTGCACATGCCCGATGTGACTAAAGATCTGTATATCATCTTTCCTAGGTATCTGAGGGTGATCTGAGGACTTTGTTGCTGGATGAGCTTGTTGGACCTGCGGCTCACATCCCACACAGGTACGCATGGTTACAGGCTGACTTCTAATCATTATTAGTTCCTCAGCCTCCCTCCTCATCAAAAAGGCAGCTTTTTTCCCAGGAAAAGTTTACTCTTGACTCAAATAACTAATAACTTCTTTATAATAACTTCATGAATCGACCACACACACACTCACACCCACACACGCACAGGTCCCCCAGTGTAGAGAGAGGTAACAGAGTTGGCCTCGGGGATTCTGTCTCTCCTCAGGGAGGTTGAGCTCCTCGGGGAGTCACTGGAACACCACTGTCCCTATGGCAATATGCAAATCCCTATATGATATTTCCCACCATGCAGTGCTCCAAGGCCCCTAAAGACTTGTTCCGTTTCTACTTTAGACCTTTCTGGAAAGACAGAAATCTTATTTTAAGTTTCACACATTTTCCACAAAACTAATGAAAGGAGCATTTTCTGAATCTAAATCTTCATGCTCATACATATGTACCTATTGCAGGTTTTTTCCCATCGCTAGCTAGACACCTGGACTCACCAGACCAGGGAGGGGTTTGATATGAAAATGACTCGAGTTCCAGTAATACCCATTGCTCGCTGAAGTTAAAGTTACCTGCTGTCGATCATTAATATGTTAAGCTTAGCAGCCGAGCCCACCCTGTTCCTGTCAGTCAAAACTATCCTGCAAATAAAGTATTGAAATCAATGGAGCTAATATAACAACTGCACACTTTAATACTTCTTCACATCAACTTTCCTTTGATGTCTTGCGCTGGCATCGTGAGCAAAGCAGAAAGCAGAGTAATAGATTTCTGTCAGATACAACATCCTAGACGCTGACATTGTGATAAATCGACTGATTTCCAAACATAGGGATAATATTGCAGTCAATATTGTTTTTTTTTATTTTTTAGAAGCTGTCATATGAAAACTAAGAACACATCCAAATACGGTCGGAAGTAACCAGTCAGTAGTTTGACAGCCTGCAGCGCAGCCAATTAAAGCACCAAGCGAAGCAGGAATCGGTGGTCTGGCACAATGTGGCACAATTGAGTTTTCGGCTGTACGGGGGTTTCTTTGCCAATCCTGCAAAAAAGGCACTGAAGGGCGTGATGGATCCTCAGTCAGCGCGCTCGCTGTCAGAGACGTGGGGATTTGCATCACACCTTGAGCGTTTTAAATGGCTGCACATATAATAATAATAAAAAAAAAATGAAATAAATGAAATGAGTAAATCAGGTCTCATGAAATGAAATGACAGGCAGGTTGAAACAGCGGGTGAGTGTGTGTGTTTCTTGCCACCAGCGTCAACATTAAACACATCAGATTGAAGCCACCCTCCAGGGTAGCATCACTCAGCCAGGTGTGTGTATGCGTGTGTGTGAGTGTGTGCGTGTGCATGGTGAAACCTAAGTCTTTTATCTACTTTTCCCATTTCCTCTGGTTTTTGTTTATCTACAGATTTATATATATATTTCCGCTGAAATGGCGCATGCAGAACACACACACTCTCACGCGCACATTGATCTATCGATGTATTGATGTGTGAGTGGGTGTCAGTTTTTTATTTTCCGTCTCCCTCCAATTTTTTAATTATTTTCCCTTAGTATAATCTCCTGCAGACTTTTTTACACCTGAGTTAACTTGAGTGCTGTTTTCCTTTGCCAAAAGCAGTCAAATGCTGAAAGTTAGTTAGGTAAAAAAAAAAAGAAGCTTTGACAGAATATCCTGATTCTCATTTGGGAAAGGTAGGAACTTAACTTATTTCACACTCCGGCAGCTTCCCTCAGTGTAACTGTTCTAATTCAACTCCAAACTTTTCTTTGTTAACACAAGTGATAAGATATTTAGGCGTCAGAGACTGGAGATTCATTATTGTTCCATTATTATTTTCCTCATGGCTTTGCTTGTTTTTCTATTGTCCAGCTGTTTATCTGACAGTCTCCCGGCTCTTCCTCTACCATCGTCTTCACTAGTGAATGCACATTTCTTTCTATCTCTCCCCTCTTTCTCCCACTTCTCTCCCAAGACAGGAGGAGGATATGTCTCTTTTTCTCCTTATTGACTTTCCCAGGTCAGGCTCCTCTTCTCCTATTAGGCCAAGCTAACTGATCAATACGCAGGCCTGGTGGGCTGCTGTGTGGACATGCAGACCGGCATACACAGCGTGCCGTGCCCCGGCCGAGTGCCACGCTCATTAGCACACACACAGAGCAGGACAATACACATATCCACACTCATATAAGAAGATTTGCATGTGAAATTTATAATGATACAGCTGACTGTGGAAGCGTTTTCTAATAGAAAGTTGCAAATCTAAACGCCTAAATCAATCAATCAATCATGTATAAATCTATATATCTTCATCCACTTGGCTGCCTCTCTGTCAAATGCGAAGATGCGACAAACTCCTCCTCTCCTCTCCAACCTTCTCCTCTCTTCTCCTCCCCTGCTGTTCTCCCAGCTGGTGAGTTGTGACATCTGCAGTGCTGCGACATGGATAAGCAGCTGCCAGAGATGGAGGGAGGGAGAGGAGGGGGAGGAGGGGAAGGAGGGAGAGCCATAGAAGACAATGCTGGAGAGGAGTGAAGAGGGATGCGGGTGCCTAAGGGAGGGGATGAGGGGTGCTGACAACCAGCAACAGTTAGGTGTACAGCAGGGGGAGACTGTCTGTGTGTGTGTGTTTGTGCACATGCATGTATATGTGCATGTCTGCGTAGTGTGTATCTGTGTGTGTGCGCATGGCAACGTGCCAGGCGGTGCCATCTGGCTGCTTGACAGAGCTCTTCTCATTAACAGGGAGGTTAATTGCTGTGGCAGCACCCAGGCTGTGTCAAACATCACCCTGGGGACACAGGAGGCAACAGTCGATCTGCGTGTTTGTGTGCGCACGTGCACGAGTGTGTGTGCATTTGTGTGTTTAAAGCATAAAACGCGGCACTGGAAATCTTAAAGCGCTTTTCTCGACATAAAAACGGTTAACGGCAACCTGCTGTATATTAGCCCTGGCATGTGAAGAGGGCAGCGTAGGGGACCTGTGACCTGTGTGTGTGTGTACATGTGTGTGTGTGTGTGTGTGTGTGCTTGTGCATGTATGCCAGGCTACATGCATGTTTATATTATTCTCATGAATTATGTCTTGTTGCTGTAATGATGTAGAAAGAATTGGGTTTACAGAGCCAATGTCTATAGCCCCGAGGGCAAACACACATACATATAGGCTCTCTCTCTCACACACACACATGCACACACACATACACACGCGCACACACGCAAGACAGGGGGGAAGGGGTGGCAATTTGCATGTTATTACTGCATATTCATGACTAATTTTGTTAGCCTTGCCTAATAGGCCTGAGTGACAGCTTGAGATATCGAGAGCCTGCTTTAATATCACACACACTCACCGTGACACACACACACACACACACACACGCACACTCTTCAGTCACATTCACTCGCCCTGCTCCCTCTGTCCACACAGTAATCATAACAACACTTAGGGCTCTAAATAGGAATTCCCTGTTCATCTGTCGGTGTGACATTGTGTCATTTGTTTAACGCAGCTACTTTATTGTATATAACAATACAATAAATCATATAGCCTCGTTTGTTACGTGCATAATCATGACCTAATATGCACCCATACATGCACACACACACACACTGAATAGCATGAATAAATTTGCATTCTGACTTGTTGCAGGTCAGAATGTGTTGCATGTTTTTGTATTTATTCTCCCCAAAAAGATGCAAGAAATACCTGTCGTATTAAATTCTGTTTCATCCATTAATGGTGCAGGAAATAGAACCTTATGTGCCATTAAGTAAAACAAACTGTCCTTATATTCTCCTCTGTTTTAATCTTTGCTGACTACATATGAGCTTGGTGCGCGCTCATTTTTGTGTTGTTAAAAAAGAATGCACGGCCAAGACAAAATGACACTCCTTATCTCAGCTAGCGAGTGTCTTCTGTAGTACACACATGCACGTACACACACGCGGCACACTAAACCCACCACCCCACTGTGCAGGTGAAAATAGGGATGAAATTGGCTGCAGTTACTTTTCATTCAAAACCCTCTTTCGATTTTCAACTTGTTCCCATTTCGGGCCATTCGTTTCTAAAGAATCTCTCCTAAATTTGGGGTGATTGAAGTATTTTTTCCGCCAAACTGACAGGAAATAAGTTTTGAAAATGCTAATAAACAGACCAAGCTTCTTCCCTCCGTCTAAAAGGTCCTAAAATAATAAGAAAAAAATCACGTAATAATGCAACTGTAGACGGTTTTGTCCTTTGTAAAAGTTGAGGATTGATATTTTTGCATATCTTTAGGGAGAGAATGTCTTTGTCTACACATTTATGTACATATAAAGACTTCTGTGCATGCTTAGGAGTACACATGGTTTTTGTACATTCCCTTTTAAGCAGATTTTCTTAGTGAAATGCTCGGCAAAGTGATAATTCATAACAAAGACTGTAGTTAGAACTGATAGCACAGCAGCACACACACACTTTCCCATTCTCTTCCAGAGACAGAAACAGACTATAATCTAAAGTCAGTTTGTTCACACTCTCCTCTGTGGCTTTTACTCTATTTGACTGAAAAGTTGTTTTTTTTTTTTTTTTTTTTCCTGAAGTGAAAGATTTAACTCTCAGCGCGCTCTATCCACTCACATGTCACTTTTGTCAAATCTTGCCTTTCCTTCCCTGCTTGGTGTGAACGTGTAGACACGCTTGATCAAATGTGAGTTTAACATTTTTAATCTGCGCAAAGTTTCATCAGAATAACTCATCTCATGAGGCTGGTAAATATGAAATTGTGTGTGTGTGTGTGTGTGTGTGTGTGTGTGTGTGTTTGGTATGAGTAGTGCACAGTACCGTGTGATCTGTTTTCTGTGTTTTTTTTCCCCCTCTCCTTCCATCTCGGGTGTGTGACAGCTGTCACTGGTGACTCAGAAAGGTGTCTGGGCAGAGTTAACATATTTTCACCGCTGGGAAACACACACACACACACACACACACACACACACACACACACAAGCATATCAGCTCCAGTTGCTGTCACCTACCACAAATTTCACCAGGCTCAGCATCTCTTTGCTGCTTTTGAATTAGATTTTTTTTTTCATGAATCACACATTACACTGTACACACACTGCATCCTATTTACACAGTGGATTGCTTTATTAGTTATTTCTTTCCTTATGTTATATGAATTAATTTAACACTTTAATTAACCATCAAGGTTTAAGTTTGATATATCATGTGTCACTATTAATACAACAAACGGGTGTCAAGACCAGCCTTGAAAACAATGATATACACCGCCATAGGCTGTGTCATTTGCTCATAAGCATTCACTGTATTTAGATCGTGTGACGATACTTCGGCTTTCACATCTGTAATAATCTCAGATCACATATGTAACATATTCAATACACATACACATATATATCCGCAGCTTATATAGTATAACGTTACAGTACGTGACACACCAGCACACACTTCAGCCTGTGCAGTGGTGTTTAATGCCACCTGTCTCCCCCTGTAAGAATCATCACAAATCATCCTCGTCCTCCTTGTCTCTCTGTCTTTCTGCTGTAGTCCTGGGTCCTTAGTCCAGATCACATCTGAGATTGAAGACCTGAAAATCCAGCTGCAAACCAAGGACATGGTCATCTGTGATCTGGAGAGGGAGCTCAGAGAGAGTTCTCAGCAAAAGCAAAAGGTGACCGACTCAGCTTGTTCCGATTTGAGCTTATTAGAAAGGATCTGTCCAGTCTTCAAACATCTTGTGTAAGATGATTTAGTTTAAGGTGTTCCCTCTGTTTCTCAAATTGAATTGCATACACCTACATGCATTTAGCTAACTTCTCCTATGTTGAGGTGTAAAATAAGGAGGAGATTTTCCCCCACAGTTCTGAGACTGCCTCCACAATTAAATGACTTGGTAAGGTGATTTTTTTTGCAGCGTGCTTGTTATTGTTTAGAAGCCTGTCTGAGAGGTGGAGAAGTCTTTTTTTTTTTTTTTTTTTTTTTTTTTACGATATTGGTTTGGCAGCTGTGCTAGAAGCGCTCCATGTGCAGCCAGGTTTAACAGGAAGCCGAGGCGTGTGTGATGAATTACCGGCATATCTCAGAGCCCTGGGTAACAAACATGGCGTCGCCGGCCGGGATTAAAAGGGAGAGTTTTTTACGGCCTCCCCACACCTCCTTACAGGGTGTCACTAAATTATACCCACTGCTGTTTTACTGTCTTCTGTGGCTTACGGTTAAGACGCACGTAAACACACACAGGCTTGCAGAAATGCACACACACACACACATGCGCACACATACATTTGTGCTTGTGGTAAACCCGGGCTTGTTGGTTGTTTATGTGTGTGTTGGCTGGTTACTGTTTGTTTATGCCGCTTGTGAGTTGACTCATTTGCACTGCCGCTAATTAGTGGTTTGTGTGATTACAGAGCCTAAGAGAAACAAGCAGAGTTACTGGAGCTTGTTCTGTTAATCATATTTTCAACAAATGTTGATATATCTTTTCATTCCGCTTGTGTTTCTGTTTAACTGGTACGTCTGCAATGTAGATGCACGGGTAGATGTGTTGGCACACGCTCATGTACTGTACACACCGCCTTAATGAAAATGATTGCCACAGAATTTGTTTGTTAGCAATAAGCCCGTTTCTGTGTAACTGAATACATATTCAGAATCCGACACCTATGAGGCCCAATTAAACCAAGTGTATATGTTTAACAATGAAAACAAGGCATGTGTACATGTAACTCCTTTGAATTTGTCAGTGTGGAAGGTTTTCATCTGTAATGATGTGTGAAGTGCCAACGTGGGTGCAGTGTCTCCTTTACATCACCCATACAATTGTCCTCTGTTTGACCCTGTGTCTCCTCTGTACGGTCTTATAAACAATAGAATTTAAGACATTAACAGCTGCTTTACTTGGGAGAGACTTAATATAAACATTTTAATAAATTATACTTATGCTACATGACAATCTTACTCATTACAAAGTGTTTATATGGCTTAAGATTATTGCACTAATCAGCCACATTTCTAAAACACGGCATAAAGACACTAATTCACACTCACTCAGAGTAACTTTCTTCCTTTTGAAAGAATCTTTTTAACGTCTAAACTCCTTCACGGCCCAGACTGCAACACAGGTGCTGGAAAGCAGCGAGAGGCTGGCGCACCTGCAGAGCGAGCTCTCATGTCTGCAGCGCATCCGGAAAGACAACATGAAGGAGGTTGCTGAGAAAGACATCTGCGTCACCAAGCTGCGAGCCAACATCGAGATGCTGCAACAAGAGGGGGCCGACGCACGCGCTCAGGTGGGCAGAGCGTGCATTGGTCGCAGTTTCAGATCTTTTACTCAAGTAAAAATACCAATACCACAATGTTATATGTAATACTCCATCACAATTGTTTTTAAGTACGGAATTTAACATCATATTGCAGTAATATTTGATAAGTAGTATTAGCAAAATATAAATGAAGTATCAAAATTAAAAGACTAATATTTCATTTTATTTAATTTATGTTATTTAATTTAATTTTATTTTATTTTATGTTATTTTATGTTATTTAATTTAACTTCATTTTATTTTATGTTATTTGATTTAATTCAGTTTAATTTAATTTGATTTTATGTAATTTTGTTATTTAATTTAATTTAATTTTATGTTATTTAATTTTATTTTTATTTTTTTTATATTATTAAATTAAATTAAATTAAATTAAATGTTATTTTGTTATTTTATGTTATTTTATTTGTGTTTTTATGTAAAATCCTAAACTGAAAACAATCTATTGAGTACACCTGTCTAATAAATGTATTTTAGTTAAAAGTTCAGTATCCGAAATGTCATGGAATACAAGTATAAAGCAGCATAAAATGGAAATACTCAACCAAAGTACAAGTACCTCAAAATAGTACTTAGTACAGCACCTAAATGTACTTAATTATTCTCCATTACTGATGATTTGGGATTCCTATGTGCACACATGTATCTCCACATGCGCTATGGATACTGAACATTAAAAATAGCTGATACTGTAACCATTAATGCACTCGCTTGTCACTCCAGGCATCTTTTTTTTTAACCTCCTCCTCCTCAGCTGTCATACAGGATGCTACCTTGCAATGGGTCTCTTGATGTTCCAGATTAGTTTTTAGATTAAGTGCCTGGTACCTCATTTGTTTTACAGAGTGCAGAGATGTGACTGCCTGCACATTTCTGCTTGTTTTTTTTAATTTATTTTCTGTCTCTGACTTTAGCTCTCCAAGCTGGATGTGAGAGCGAGGGAGCTTCAGGAGGAGCTGAAGAGAAAAGAGGAGGAATGGAGGCAAAGGGAAGAGGAATGGAGGCTGGGATGTGAAAAGGAGCATCAGAGAGCAGAGGAGAGGAGAAGGCAGGAGCAGCAAAGGAGAGAGGAGGAGTGGAAGAGGGGGATGGAGGAGGAGAGAAAGGCCCATGCTCAAGCTGTTAAAAAGTGGGCTGAGAAGGCAGCTGTTTTGAATTCTGAGGTGAGTGTATAAATGCACTGAGTAGATCTATTGTATCCAACTATCTCCTCCACAATGGGTGATAATGTGCAAAGTTGGCTGTGAGTAAGAACATTTATTCTCCTCATTGTGTTCCCTCATTTTAATTCTCCTGTAAGAGATGTTGCTTTTTTTCCTCATCACGAGCTTGAGTCAAAATATCACACAATTACACACCTTCATCCACAATTAAAAGATGACTACAATCATTCAATTAAAAATTTAATTATCATTTTAAAAACCGTCTCTCCTCCTTTGAACTCTGAATATTTCCATTTTTACCTCTTTGTCTTCAGGCCCCGACTACTTTAAATCATAGTTTTTACGATGAAGTTTTCTTAATTGAACAGTTTTAGTATGTTTACTCACAGCAGTACAGAAGGCAGGGTGTAGACAAGCATGCATGTACACGCACTTACACAGACTTGTAAAAAAACCCCCACAACAAAACACTTCACCTTAATTCAGACCTCAGACACTCTCTCCTCTCCTCCACCCCCACATCCCCTCCTTCCTTCCATCCTGCCATCTCGCCACAACCGCTCCAAATTAATCTGCAAAATATTGATTTGAGGAGCAAGGGGGTGGGGGGGGTGGGGGCGCACGATTGCGGCCGCATATTAATACGAACGGGCCGCTCTTCGTCTCTCCTCTATACTTTAAGATCCTCATATCTTCATAATTGATTAATGTTCCTTTGTGAAGTGGGGATGAATAATACATTAGTGGGCCTGCTGCACCCTCAGGCTGATGAGAAAATGTTTAATTTCAGTAAATGTAGCGCTCCCTCTCTCTTTCTCTCTCTTTCATTTTCCCCTCTCTGGTTATTTGTGAGTGCTGGAGTGTGTTTGTGAGTTTTCACTCGTGAGCCGCAGACTAGAGGAGTGTTGTTGATTTGCTTTTTTCGTGTTTACTGTCGGCTTGAAGCGCATGTTAAGCATCGCAAACAAAAGGCAGCATCTGCATTTGCAAACATGAATGAATAAATTGGTGAAATGAGCTCAGTATTGTTCCATTAACTGATATAACTACGAGAGCTGTGTCACTTTACAAGGTGTTTGCCCTCCAAAAAAAAAACAAAACAGAAAAGAAATAAAAGAAATCACCCTTTTGGACTTTTTTGCAGACGTCACATCAGAGTGTGCTATGAACATCAGCTGCGACATTATCCATCAGCAATCAGTGCAAGCATGCAAATGTCCCATAAACCCACCTGATGGGGACAAGTAGCCTCTTCAGCAGCATGGAAAGGTGCCGGGAGGGTGACATATGTCAGTTGCTGTGACTGGCACAGCCTGAGTCGACTCAGCTCATCTGCTTAACAATGCTAATTATGCTAAACAGAAGCCTAATGATGATGATTAGGGATTTAAGAGCTACAGCATGGCATGCTTGCTGTGTGTGTGTGTGTGTGTGTGTGTGTGTGTGTGTGTGTGTGTTGCTGGGGGTGGGGGTGAAAGGGTGGGGTGTCTGGCACCTGATGGCGAGCATCTGTGTGTGTAGAATAGATAAATGACGAAATGAACACATACACCCACAGGTCTCACTTCATGGCTACTTAGCTCTGCTTCATTTTCATTTGAACTTGTGCCAGTGATGTAGGGGATCCATACACATGCACACATGCACAGCTTCCTACATACACACAGAGCGCTAATTGAATAAATAATTCTTATCCGTTAACAAGCATCCTAATTAGTTATGCTAATCAGCCTAGATAACCCAATTAACCTCATAGAGTGAAGCAGGGAGGGCTCCTCTCTGTGTGTTTATATGTGGGTGTGGATTTCTATGCCTGAGAGCATATCAGAGACACTTAAGAAAACACATTTGCCTAATTAGTTTTCAATGACATAGACAAGCATTTATGTTTTTTTCATGTCCTTATTGTTCTGCTTTTGAATGCGAGGTAATAGGCTTTCCACAGCAAGGATATAAGTGGTATTGGATTCATGTAAACAGTGTTTTCTACGCGCACACGCGAGGATATATGCATTCATGAGCATTTCTGTCTGCCTCCTGCCAGTCTGCGTCTCAGTTAGATCCACATGGACATGTATATTTTTACAACTATTATGGTAGTTTAAACAGAGTGTGTATTTGTTCAGAGAATGTCTGCCTGTTCCATTAGTTTATGTCCTTGGAAATACAATTTGGCCTCAAGTTCTCTCCGTTTATTTAAAACCTTCAGTCAGCGTTCCCATCCTAATAGTGAGCCGTGTTTCCTCTCGTTTAGCTTCGCCACTCATTATCCGGGCCATGTGGAAGAGACAGTGTTTAGAGAGAAGAGGGAGAGAGACTTGGAGAGGGACAGAGAGAGAGAGAGAGAGAGAGAGGGAGAGAAAATGAGCAGAAAGCGAGAGCAGAACCAGGGAGAAGGACAGAGGGAATGAATGAGTGACTGGAAGAGAGAGAATGTAGATTTTCTTTGAACCTGACCACAGCTTCTTGTGCTTCTAATGAATGGTGAGAAGGGAGGGAGACATCCAGACAAGACTGTCTTTGTTGTGCCTGTGTGAGAGAGAGGGAGAGAATACAACAGATTTATGTCTTACAGGAAGTCTCCCAGATTTGTGGTGTCGCAAACCGCCCACCCCGAGTCAACTCCATGCTCTGGCTGCTAATTAATAGTCAGTTTAAGTTTCTGCGTGTGCACTTGTGAGTGTGTGTTTGTATGTGTTGGGTGTTCGTTTGCCTGTGTGCATCTGTTCATCTCTGTGTTTGCAGCATTTAGGTATGCAGTTTTTCATGTGGAGTTTGTAGATGAAAATTAGCTTTGACAGAGTAATACTCATCCGCTCCTCTGGTTTGCTGTGTATGGCTGACAGTGGGAGAGCTTGGTTTAAAACACGTCACAATGATCTGATGTGATGGTAAGAGCTTCAAAGTAAGAGTATGAAATTTGGCTCTATAATAACTGTCAAGGTTCATGGACAAAACAGATGTTTTATGCTAGTCACCATTACTAGCTTCAGCCTATGGTATTTTACACTGCATTAATTAGCTTAGCAGCTAGTGGACTTTTCTTCTTCTACTCAGACAAATTACATGTTTTATTTATACTTTTTCAACATCAGTTAGCGTCTGATCATCTTTTGGGAACTTGCTTTTATTGCACATAACATAACGTGTTATTGTCAACTGCTCTGCTTCATGTGTGTGTGGGCTAAGCCTTAATTATAACTTACGGGTCCGTCACGTGATGCCATGGGGCCCCACAAAGACTTTTTCCCATAGAACTGCATTATGCAAGAAATGTCTGTAAATCAGGAGGCAGAGTTGTGCAGTGGTTAGCATTGTCACTTCACATCAAAAGGGTTCCTGGTTCGAACTCCAGGATGGGGGGGCCCTTGTGTGTGGAGTTTGCTTGTTCTCCCTGTGTCAGTGTGGGTTTTCTCTGGGTACTCCAGCTTCCTCCCACAGTCCAAAGACATGCAGGTTAATTGGTGTCTCTGAATTGTCCGTAGGTGTGAATGTGAGTGTGAATGGTTGTCTGTCTCTATAGCCCTTTTTAAATAGGAATTGTGCAAATTTGCAGGAAAGCTTCTTTAAGCATTGGCAGTATAAAAACAAAATTGGAGAGTGCAGCAAAATGCCGCCTGCCTACTTTTGTTTATACAGAATGTGCCTTTTTCGGGGCGATGGGGCGCGTGAGCAAGTAACAAAACATGTAGCTCAGCATGTGACGTAAACAGTGACGTGGGAGGGAAGCTGCAGCTGGTCAGTCTTTCAGCAATTCTCTCGTATGTCAGCCCGTTCTTCACTGTTCCTGTCATCTGACGGTTAATGGCCTTTATGTGTCAGCCCCGTGATAGTCTGGTGACCTGTCCAGGGTGTACCCCACCTCTTGCCCAATGTCAGCTGGCATAGGTACATCAACTTCCCCATAGGGACAGTCAAATAGCCCTAATTTAAATCATGTCCAAGAAGTTGTAAAATTCACTTACAGCTGTGTCTAGAGTCATTTCCCTCCTGCTATCCATGTGAGCGTGCCTGAGACCGAACAGCTTGGAGGCAGGGTTAAAGGGAACGCTAATGCGCTTATTCTTTAGGCACCACGCTGCAGAAGATCTCGGTAAATTTAAACCCGGAAGTCAAACGTTTGTTGGCTTCTTGGGCACTGAGCAACTATGATAGAAGAGAAGCACCACCTCCAACACTGTATCCAGTTTTCTTACATACATCCATGGTGTGGACGAGCAAAACCAACAATAAGAGGAGAGAATAGCACGACTGTAAATGATATACACATATGTAAAACACTTGCGGGGGGGGGGGGGCTCCCATTGCACCCCGCCATGGCACTGGTGGGGGAAACACTGGTTTTCTTTTTTAGAACAGTTTAAGGGCTCCCCTCAATTGACTTGACTAAGGTATTAAATGCTGCACCCAGCATTAGCATTAGGTCATGGCACCAACGCTAATGTGCTAATGGAATTCACTGTGGTGAGCTAAACTCCGAGGCTTAACATCCAAAGCCTGCACTTTTGTAATGGGAAGACCAAACACTGGATGCTACTCTGTGCAGCGCAGGTCTTGGATGTGGGGGGTGAGGTGCTAATATTAGCTCATGCTCACATCAGCTGAGTCATCTCCTCTGTGTCCTTGGCTTATTAACTGATTTAAGACTGATTAGATCAGTCTTTGCACGAGCGTGCACTGGCACACATGCACACCAAATTTGAATATCAAAATGGAATTGCTCTGACCAGTGAAAACTAGATTAATTCAAAATGTTTGCATCAAGGTGTGGGTAAAAGCGATGACTGTGCATATTTTTAATGCACCTTGCAGCGTTTAAAGCCATTTATGACATTATCTAAAGCTCATGTTATGCAAACACATTTTGCAAGTCAAAGCCACTTATGTTGAGAATACTTGATGCTCCTTTTTTTTTTCTCCTTCGCCTTGATTTGACTTCATGAGATCATCAGCATAGGTATTGATTTTGCACTCCATTTGATGGAGTTTTAGTGAGCTAAAATGTGTATACCTCTTCCATAACAACCTGCCACAGCAACAGAATAATGATGTTGAGCTCTGCTGATACACCACTGCAATGTGCATGCCATGTGCTTTTCATCACGAGCTGCAGACACCTCAGATATGTTAAAAGGAATTAAGTAAAAGATTAAAGAATGTGAGTTTTACATGGACAGTGTTCTGTTACTCCAGCCCCCTACCTGTTAATGTGTGTCTTCATCTAGCTTTGTCAAGGTTATGTAAACAGATTGGCCATTGCTCTGCTCCCAACAAATGCCACAAATAGCTTTTCTTCTCTGTAGTCTCCAGAAACTGTCAGGAGATTGCACTGTTGCTACCAGGTCAAATCTCCTGACAGCCTAACAGCATGCTGGGTGATGTAAGGTTGGCCTAGAAACCTCCCACATCCTTATTCTTCCTTTGAAAAATCATTTCTATTATGTCATTGTTGTGGTTGATGTGAGAACCCATTGCACTCCTGTTTCTTCCTATTTGAATGCGTTGCTCAGTTCTACTGTGAGCTATTTGATCAGCTCAGAACACGATGTTACACTTTCAGATGGTTGTTTTTGTAAACAAGAAAACGTCTTGCTGTCTGTTAGTTTGAAAGTAGAGTGTCAATTTCACTCAGTACTTTCCACGTTAGATGTGAGGTAGTACTCAGCCAATGTAAAAATGTGTACGGTTGCACATGCTCGTGCACAAGATCGTTTGTTTCCACCTCTCTTTATGTGTGTGTCTGTGACAGTTTCCTCTCAAGATGTTAATTCCTCCCTGTTGTTGTCATGCTAACACCAGCAGTGTCTGCGCCAGGGAGACGAAGACATATTGGTGTTAATGAAAAGCCCTCCTAAACTCTCCTCCCCGCATGAATGTTTAAACATGCTTGTCATAACATTCATTCGCTCACACATGACAGCTAGCATCTGCAGCTGCCTTGCTCGCCCTCAATATTTTATCATACCATCTCCCCTAACCCCAGACTAGCACAATGGCTGTGTGTTAGCAAACGGAATTATAATGACTCAAAACAGGCCGTAGTCAGACACACTGCCAGCGCAGGCCATACATAATGTATTCGGCAACACCACAGGCCTCATAATGGTACAATTAGTCGATCTTAAAAATGAAAGAAAAGAGAGAAAGGCCAAATGGAGGAAATGTGGTGACACACAGAGGGAAGGAAAAACAGAAAAAGAGGGATAAACAAAGACAGAAAAGCAAAACAAAGGGGCAAAATGTGGAAAGGGAAAAAAAAAAAATCCACAGTCATGTCCGTATACAGTTTGCAATTCAGAGGTCCCATAACATTGCAGGTCAGCAGTTGTGACCTTGGTGGTTTTGACAGAAGTGGTTCACCATGGTAACGGTTGGTCGGCAGCCCTCAGAACATACCCCCCCCCCCCCCCCGCACCCCCTCATCACTCCCCAACCTTCCTTACTTGCCTCTCTGCCAATTTGATTGGACGCACAATTGAAATGTCATGCTTCAGCAACACACATGCACACACACACACACACACACACACACACACTCTCACTGGATCAACCAGACTGCAACAGCGGTATGAAAGCACAGGGTGCGTTGTACATGTCAGAGTGAGAGAAACCAGAAACAAAAGTAGCACAGACTAAAGAGGGGAGAAGGGTTTTTAGTTTAGCTTTATATCACACAAGTATTTTGGAAAGCAACAAAGAAAGTGTCTCGGTGTGTTTATCTACACTCATAGTTACAGGGTTAACATAGTGTGGTGGACGGGGGGACCCAGGCACAGAGCATCAAAGCAGAGAGTCTTGTCATAGCTGCTGAATACAGAATCAAATGAATATTAATGCGGAACCAATTACCTCAGGGAAATGTTGTCTGTAGGTTAGCTTTGCTAACACACGTGTCTCACCTTTAGCAAAGTGGAAGCAGTGGGGGGGAAAGCCTGGAGGGTGGACAGCGCTGATGTATTCGTTTCCCTCCTAACAAGCTTGTCTCCCCCGTCCAAAATAGAATTGTCCAGCACACAGCTCCTCCACCGCCGCTCTCCTGATTTCACCTAGATGCAAACTGCAATTTAAAAAAGTGAATTATGGAGAGAATAAATGATACAATTCTTCAACAATGCCCATGGCTAAGAGGAAGTTAATACTGGTGCCATGTCTGACCACGTTGTTTGTTTGTAAAGATTTGATAAGCAGGAAAAATTGCACTTTTAAATGCTATGCTACAATACAGGCTAAAGGATTTTCTTTTTTCTATATCAAGCTTGGTTAAATGATAAAATTTTTAAACATAGCATAAGCCACTAATCAAAAATAGGCCTTTAAAGTCCCTTAGAAGCACATATTCAGTTCACACACCTTTCCCTGTGTGCAGCAGTTTTGTGGTGACATGTATACTATATTGTTATGTGAGCAGCTTAGCACAGTGCAGCACTGATCTGTTCAGGTCTCCGGCTGCTGCTGATCTGCATAAGTGACTGTGGCACACTTAAAGCTGCTGGCTCCTTAAAGCCCCTTCTAAATCAGTGTTAAAGCCTTGATAATAGACCTCGCTGGCCAATTGATTGGCCTTCATATGTTTACAGCTCACTTTAATTGCCTCAAAAATACCATTTATCAGTCATGTGTGTCCATGTATGCACGCGTGTGTGTGTGTGTGCAAGCATGCCTGTCCATCGACAAAAAGGCCTATTGATTTATCAGCATCTGGATTTGTCCCGTTCACCGTACATAAAACCCCCGCGTATGTGCTGTTCAAAATGGGAAATGGCCCCATCGATTCCCTTAAGTTGGAGCCCAAATGCTAAAGATTTTTGGATAAGCTTTCTCATTATTTAAGCTGAAATCAATAGGGGAGAGCATGGGTCTAATGAATGAACGGGCCACAGATCAGATGGGGTGTGCTCATCCCTGGCCTGTCCTGGTCGATCTGTGTGGGTGCGTGTGAGTGTGTGAGTAAGAGAGAGGGAGACGGAAAGAGAGTGAAAGAAAGAACCTGACTGTTTGTGCGTCACAAATCGTTTTCTTTGGCACTCAAAAAAAAAAAAAATCACACTGTACGTCTGTGTGTGTCTTTATTTCTTTTGGTTCATTTGACCCATTGCTGTTTGATTAACTTCCTTTCGTTCTATCGTCTCTTCCTGAATGTCATGTGCCCAAAACGTGACAAACAGTATATCAAATTCAGCATCATTATTATTATTACTGAGCTGTCACACACTCTTTGTCTCTGTGTAGTTGACGGTCAGCAGGAAGCAGGTGGAGCGGCTGAGCAGGGAGCTGTCAGAGTCCCACCAGAAGGAGGAGACGCTTCTGTCTGAGGTATGGAAAACACTAAAACATTCACTGCATTCATGTCTCACCATTGTCCTTACATTCATTTAACTGTGGTCTCCCCTCTTGACTCCACCGCCCCCCAGAAAATTATAAATGCAATGAAAATTCATCATCTGGCCTCATCTGGACTCATAAGGCCCAGTTTCCCCACGGGGGTCAGTGTAGTTTGGACTTATATCTCTGCTTAGAATGCATCCAAAGGGGGAAGTAAATTACAAAATAAAACATATGCAACAGCAAAATTGCGAGTGATCATGGAAGGCACCCAGGAGTGGAGATTTAAAAAACAAAATTAGCCCCGATACTCAACACCTTCAAATAAAATCTAGGTTAAACATAAATCTGCATGGGAATATAATATGCGGTGCGGCTGTCTGTCTATATGTCAGCCAGTGAAACCAAAAATTCAGCTGGAGACAAACACACGCACACACACACACACACACACACACACACACCAGTTACCCCTCCCAACCGCAACCCCTTTGGCTGACTTTTTGGTTTTTCCACTTTCCATTCTTTCCACTCTTTTGAAATCTCAAAACGATATGGAGTGGTGTGTCTCTAGGAAATTGTCTTTGGCCGAGCGTGCAGACGCTGCCTTTTTAGAGTGGCCACATTTACCAGACAACTGCTAAGAGTTTCACTTTGTGGTTTGGCCAACTCGTGGAATTAACTACATTAATTATCCACAGCTGATATTGCAGACAGTTGTCATGTCAGCTGCTGAAAGCGACACTCGCCGGCTGGAAACGAGAAGCCTGCAGGCATTTAAAGTTGATAACAAGTAGATGTTATCATAGTCGTTAAATACCGCATATATGTAAAGTTGGCAAGTGGATTTCTGCCAAGTGGCTCCACATAAGAGTAATGTCAACAATATCAACAATGAAGACTCCGGAGCAAATATCACTAACCAGTCCAATTTTCAAACAGTAAACTCCCTGTCCCTTCCCCTCGCTCCCCTCAAAGGTGTCCCGCCTTTTCAACTCATAAATATGGAAGGCAAAAGATGATGAGATTCACGGACAAGAAAGGAATCAAAATCTATTGTTGCGTGTCCTTTTCCCCGTGTAAAGTTTGGATTAAATGTCACACATTAGCATGTGAACTTTTAAATGAGCTTGTTTGCTCTCCGCGGTGTGGGGCATGTAAATACCCATCTTGAGTATGGAATGGGGATTGCTTAGTTGAGCGGGTGGGGGCTCACAAGAATTGGGAAGTGTAGGACATATTTGAGTGTTGCACCAGCAATTAGGCTGCAGCGAGGGACCGGAGTGCCAAACAGCTCTATTGACTGGTTGCGTCCGGCCGGTGTTTCACACCTGAAGTGGCAGAAAGTGGCAGATGGGGGAAAGCTCCCTTATGGCTGAGGCTTGTGGTGATTTGAGGGAAGGGGGATGATTGACAGGCACTCCCAAAATGAGATGATTGACGCGCACTGTCGCAATGAATCCACTCATGGGCAAATTCAGGTGTGAGCGGAAAGGAATGTGTCTGCGAGTGGCTGTGGGCACATTGTAACCTCGGGAGTGTAGCTCTGAGATATTTACCATCAAAGATTTCACATATTGCCTAAAGTGTTGTGTAAAATTCTGTACTGTTGTTATATTCTACTTTCAGTGCTTTACTTCCAGAGATTAACCTATAAAAAAAAAGCATATAGCCGTGATGATATGTGAAATATAAATCAGTTTTGTTTAATGTGTCCTGCGATGTGCATGTTTGATAGTAACCAAACATCATTCTATATTTGCACATTTCTTTTCATTGACTAGGATCCTCTTTGTTTTAAAATGGGAGGCTGCTTATTTATTGACATAATTTCCTCCCAGTGAAGGGCTTGTGTCTGTAAAACACATTAAAATCATAATGCAATCTTTGCTAACCCAGGAGCAACGTTATTGTTCTATTATACTCACCGAACAACAGCATCCCGGCCTGTTTATCAATCCAATATCTCATAATGTGCTCTCTGCTTGGTCATTTTGAATATAAAAAGATCCCACACTGTTATTGTACCATATTTCCTATATTTAGTATCAATCTCTTGTTCTGACATGGATCTGACACATCCAATATGATATTTGATTAGTTGTTGGGGTTTTTTTTGTTGTTGTTTTTTTCATAGTCTCCAGGTGATATTGGATACATGTGCAGAGCTGGTATTATGTTGGCTGTTTCATCTGGGTATAAAAATGATTTAGTGTGTACTCAGCACGCAGTGTCATTGACTAGCTTTAATTTCACTGCAAGGGTGGGCTTTATTACTCTGCTACTCTCCGAGTGTGTGTGTGTGTGTGTGAGAGGGAGAGCGAAGGAGCAAGAGAGAATTAATGTTTTTGTGCATATGTATTTGTGTGTTTCAACGCTCGCTGCCACACCTGTACGCACACACACGCGTTTGTGCGTATCTCTGTATATCTCTCCACGACTGCTGTATATCCAGCATCTTCGGCATGTAATTACCATTCAGTGGAAGAATCAACCAAACCGATGTGCGGAGCAGCTTTCACATCACACTCCGGCCAAACCGGTGGTCCCACTTCAAGAAACAGAGGGGCTCCACTTTGCCGTGACAAACCTTACTTTTGATCAAATGCTACAGAGCTATAATCATGTTTGTGCCACTGAATTCTTTAACCTTTCCATGACCCTGCTGAATGCCAGCGGCCCAATCACAGAACCTAATTGAATCTGCTTGGCGGCGCCCCCCCCGACTGATGAAAAAATAAAATTGGAGGTGAAAAATGAATACAGCAGCAGCAGAGAGAGAGGAGGGGAGGTGATGCTGGTGAAGGTGGTGGCAGTGGAGGTGGAGGAGGGAGGGAGAGGGGGGTCGCACTGCAGTTTTATAAATACACAGATGTGCTCACAAACACACAACCAGACACGTACACACAGTCACACCTTTTTCAATCCTGCAGGAGAATGGGGAGCGGGAAATGACAGAGAGGGAGCGAGAGGGAGAGGTTGGGCCCAGGTTTCTCATTACCCCCTTGGCCCATTCGGAGGATATTCCTATAAGATAATCTGATTTATTTGCAATTTTCCTTTAAGCGGCTTAGTGTTTACCTCCAAGATTAATATTTTTCTCTGTTATTAATATCAGACTGTAATTAGGAGTGATGTGTCTCGCTCTGCACAGTTCTGTGGCCGCCAGGCAGCTAGCTGGATGAAACTCTTGTTGCGACTCTGTGATCCCGTTTCACAAGACAAAAAAAAAAAAGAGAAAAGAAAAAGGAAGTTTTAAAAGGAGGGAAGAGGCTGCAGGGTAGGGATGTAGAATTACAATTGCGGCATACCTGTCTTTGTGTCTATGGGTGTGTGTACGCGGGACCGTACGAATATCTGAGTGTTTATTTCTTTAGTTTATGTGCGCGTGTGTGTATGTGTGTATGTGTGTGACAGTGTGATGGCCCCCTCTGATTGATAAGGTGTCTGTGCTGGCTGCAGATTGCTCTTGCTGATTGCTTCTGAGAGCTCCAGCTGATTTATAATCAGAGCAGGATGAAGGATTGAGCTGTGGATTGCTTATCTGTTTAGCCCCCCTCACAACATAAACTGACAAATTATCATGTTGAACACACACACATATACACACGCATAGACACACACAAGCACATGTGAAAGAGGGGGAAAAAAGCATAATAATGCGGACCTTCTTATTAAACACACACAAACTCACTGTCATCATACACACACACACCGGCCACACAGAACAGGTTGATTCATCAGCACAGTCATATTTTCATGATTGCCCAAAGAATGCAATCAGTCTCATTTGTTTACATGTCAGTATCAGATGTATGAAGTAAAGTTAAGTTGCAATTAACTTGTTTTATGCACTTAGAGTTTTGATTTGCTCCATGCTGAAGAATTATTTGGAAGATTCTGTTCCAATGATGAAGGCTGGGGATGTTCTTCTTCTTTTGTTTTTTTGACGCACACTTCTTGCTGCTTACTTAACCTGATACTTACGTCCCTAGAATCAGCACTGTGGGAGGAGTGGCTAAAACACCCCAGACATAATGACAAAAACACATGCTTTTATTGTGAAGAGATTCTGATTGTGTTTAAAGGTATACTGTGCAGGAATTGTCGGTTTCTGTTTGTAAACACAACTTTTAAACTTCCACTCCTCCCTACACTGTTCCTACCAACACATTCCTTGGTCAGTGGTCCATCACGTCAAAATATGATGCTCTAGGTGCCCCTCCTGTATCAGTTTTGGACGTTATGGGATGGCACTTTACTTTCGTCACATGGATCATCTCTTTTCAAAATAAACTTCTGTGTTTACAGGAAATGTACTATTTCTGCTTGTAGAATGCATATAATCCTTTTCAAAATAAACATAAACATAGGTAAAATACTTGTTTTTAAGTATACTTCATTCAGTTAGGCAACAAAAGCATGGGGTTAGGTTTAGAAAAAACATCATGGTTTGGCTCAATATACGTACATTTGTCACAAACGGAATATGAGGTCACGTTGTGCAAATGTCCCTAGCATAGTATGCTACACATACTAGCACACTACAATGTTAAAATAACTTGATTGACTTTAGGTTTTACAGGGGACGCAAACAGCGGTCTCTTGGGTGAAAGTCAACCCCGTCTCACTCCAAAGTCGTCAAAATCCGGCGCTTTGTCAGTGACTTCCGGCATCAGACACTGACAAAAAAAGCTGTCCTTTAACATCGGCATGATACATGGCTGATGACTGTTATAGTTTAACAGCGTCAGGGGGAAGGCCTATGAACGAAAGTTAAGGCGCCAAAAGTCTGAGTAAAGTGGGCAGGAGGGGCGGTGGATGGGTCCAACAAACACCGACTTTCACGCGAGAGAGTGGTGTTTGTTAGAGCTTAAATTGGGCCCAAAAAATCCAGCCAGACCCCACCCGAGCCCGTGCATGTTCTGTCTGAGCCCGGCCCGGCCCGGCCCTTTAACTGTAATTATGAGCCTGAGCCCGGTTTAAACCCA